ACACACACACACACACACGAAATATTAATTTAATTATTTTAAATAGCTAAGACTCAGTTTTGATTAATATATGTATGAATATACAGCTGTCTAAACTCATTGACATGTATGGAAAAAGCACCTGTGAAAGGCAAAATACGTATTTGAAGTCACTGTTAGTCATTTAAATTAGTTATTTATTTTAAATTTTCATAACTATAAAATTCACAGTTTCCTCAGCTTTATTTTGAACCATAGTTCATAAAAATCTAGCAAGAAATAAGAAATTTATAACAGTTTTTCATCAGGATGATGCCACACAGTCCAGTGACATCCATTCATTTTGTTGAGGCTCCTCAATGCATAACAGAGCTCCAGTGTGTGCACGTCCATGTAGCTAGCAACGCGCTTGCCACGCCCAATCCAGTAATATGTATCAATGCCAAAACTCACTGAACTGGATTCACTGTTTCGTATTTCACATTATTATGCTGTATCTATGAGAGATTCAGAATCCTGCTAAAACTTTATCATCAGCTTTAGCCTTCAGCAGTGGTAGAGAAGAACAGGCTTAGGACTTTTGCACAGAAGTGAAGCTAAGAAAAGAAAAATCCTCAAAATTTGACACAAAATATAATTTCTAACTAAAATCAACATTTCATCGTACCTGTCCAACAAGATCCTGACAACCTCCTGACAGCCGTGCAGCGCTGGGGACAAAAGAGCAGAGATGTTATCTGCTGAAAGACAGCTAAAATCTGCTGAAGGAACACTGAAATCAGCTAAAAGACTGCTGAAATCCTCTGAAACCTGCTGAAAGACAGCTAAAATCTGCTGAAGGAATGCTGAAATCAGCTAAAAGACTGCTGAAATCTTCTGAAACCTGCTGAATGACAGCTCAAATCTGCTGAATGATAGCTGAAATCATCTGAATGGCAGCTCAAATCTGATGAAGGAACGCTGAAATCAGCTAAAAGACTGCTGAAATCTTCTGAAACCTGCTGAATGACAGCTAAAATCTGATGAATGAATGCTGAAATCTGCTAGATGACTATTGAAATCTTCTGAAACCTGCTGAAAAACAGCTAAAATCTGATAAACAAATGCTGAAATCAGCTAAAAGACTGCTGAAATCTTCTAAAATCTGCTGAAAAACAGCTAAAATCTGATGAACGAATGCTGAAATCAGCTAAAAGACTGCTGAAGTCTTCTAACATCTGCTGAATGGCAGCTAAAATCTGAAGAATGATCGCTGAAATCAGCTAGAAGACTATTGAAATCTTATGAAACCTACTGAAAAACAGTTAAATCTGATGAATGAATGCTGAAATCAGCTAAAAGACTGCTGAAATCTTCTAAAATCTGCTGAATGACAGCTAAAATCTGATGAATGATAGCTGAAATCATCTGAATGGCAGCTCAAATCTGATGAAAGAACGCTGAAATCAGCGAAAAGACTGCTGAAATCTTCTGAAACCTGCTGAAAACAGCTCAAATCTGCTGAATGATAGCTGAAATCATCTGAATGGCAGTTCAAATCTGCTGAAGGAATGCTGAAATCAGCTAAAAGACTGCTGAAATCTTCTGAAACCTGCTGAATGACAGCTCAAATCCGCTGAATGATAGCTGAAATCACCTGAATGGCAGCTCAAATCTGCTGAAGGAATGATGAAATCAGCTAAAAGACTGCTGAAATCTTCTGAAACCTGCTGAATGACAGCTAAAATCTGATGAATGATAGCTGAAATCAGTTAAAAGACTGATGAAATCTTCTAAAATCTGCTGAATGACAGCTAAAATCTGATGAATGAATGCTAAAATCAGCTAGAAGATTATTGAAATCTTCTGAAACCTGCTGAAAAACAGCTAAAATCTGATGAATGATAGCTGAAATCAGTTAAAAGACTGATGAAATCTTCTAAAATCTGCTGAATGACAGCTCAAATCTGATGAATGATAGCTGAAATCATCTGAATGGCAGCTCAAATCTGCTGAAGGAATGCTGAAATCAGCTAAAAGACTGCTGAAATCTTCTGAAASCTGCTGAAYGACTACTGAAACCTGTTGAATATCTGAAATCTACTGAATGACTGCTCAGAGCTGAAGGAATCAAAGCAATCTCAGTATGCAGAATATACATCATAATCAGATAAATCCAATTGTTTTATCAGCTTTCACTCCATCTGACTCCTTTTGACTYCATTTATCTATAATCTGCCCCCATTACATTTTAGCTGTCTTCACTTGTGTTCAATTCTTTCAATAATTCCCTTGATATGAACAGACTGATACACTACACTTAGTCAGAATGTTCACATGATTCCACTAAGTTTGGCCACTCAAACAGTTTCAGCTTTTCCAGTCGATTTCCGTTGTCTCTCAGCATTCGCACTTATTTTTCACTTGGCCTTAGCTAGCAGTTAGCCTGAGAACTCAGCTGTCAGGTCCTACTGTGAAGTGTTAGAACTGSCTGTGTGGGGATGCCGTACCTGCAGTGTGCAGAGGAGTCCTACCAGTCTTGCTCTCGGTCCTCCAGGTGTCTGGTGAAGTGAGAAGCAGGCGCTCTACGATCAAAGGATCGCCCTCCCTGCAGGCTACGTGGAAGGAGTTCCAGCCGTCTTTGTTCCTCAGAGCGGGGTCAGCGCCGTGGTCCAGCAGCTCCTGGATCACACCGAGGTTCCTCCGAGTGCACGCCATCATCAAAGGAGTCCTGAAACAAGACGCACAAATCAGCTTTGGCTAATTCACCATAACATGCGCTGGACAAACTAGCAAGCTACAGCAGAGTCTTATTGGATTAATGACTCTTATAAAGACAGGTGCAGAGTTTCACAAATCAAAACAAATTAAAAAAGGATATTGTAGCTGGTAGAACCTCCTTCAGCAGCAGTGACCCCAGTAGTGCTTTTATTATTGGACTCTCACTCCTCTTTTAGAGGAATGTTGGCCCACTGTTCTTCCTAATATTGTTTCTGTTCATTTAGATCAGGGTGTCAAACTCATTTTCACCGAGGGCCACATGAGCGTTATGGTGGCCCTCGAAGGGCCAGTTGTAATGAACTTTGATGTTTCATGTTTAACTTTGACTAAACAGAGTTTTAACAYGTCCTCTTGTAAACACTGATAAGAACTAAGTGTATGTATCTGTAATAAATACAGAAATATCATTAAAAGTAAAACAAAGTTTTACTCACTGATGAGTTTCTAGTGAGTAGCTGCATTATGGCAGATTTAGTTTATGTTTGATGGTGACTTTAAAGCAGCTTATTTTCAGATATTAGTACCGGTCCTGTGCGATCCAACTATACTGCTCAGTTACTTCAAGCCAACAGGTCAGGAACAGGAATTTTTTTAAATAACTTTTATTGCATTTATTTTTATTAAATTCATTTTGTTGCATTTAACAATGAATTTCAAGTTTACCATTGATATAAGAAACAAATTTCTCCCGTGAGGCCCACTCGCAGGCCACATTTGGCCCGCAGGCCTTGTGTTTGACACACGTGATTTAGATGTTCAAACATTGATTTCTGCACAGAGCTCACAAAAAATTACTTTACACTTTAAAATAATAACTGATTATTTCCTGAGGTAAAACATCAACCATAACTGCTGAGAAAGAAAGAAAGAAAGAAAGAAAGAAAGAAAGAAAGAAAGAAAGAAAGAAAGAAAGAAAGAAAGAAACCATAACTGCTAAGAC